TATAAAACCACATAAAATACCACAACTGCATTCTAACAAAAAAAATAAAATTATATAAAGACCAAACATTACTGGAAACAGGACAATCATTTGATAAATACACATCAGTGTCGTGTTTTGTCAGCCTTATGTAGCACAATTTATTTGAGCTACATATAAATGTTGATTTGCTATTTAAAGTTATTCAGTGTGAATTATTTTACACATAATCCTATTTTACCAAATGACTTAAAACTATTTATGATTTATAATAAATGTTTTTTTCTTTATGTCCACAAACATTTTAAAAATATTACAAAGCCAGAATTTGTAATCATTTTAACTTATACCAGATGCATTGGCCCATATTCAATGTATTGTGAAAATGCATTGTTTTCTGCTCTGAAGGATATTAGTTCTGTTCATTACAGCAGAGCTTAACTCTTCTTCAGCTTAAAGGAACACTGTACTCACTATAACAACTAATTGAAGTTGTTATAGTGCTTACAGCAGTTCACCCATTAAAATTGCCGCCATAATGTTTTATTTTAGCAGTTAGAAGGCTTAAAAGTGCGTCTGTTACTTTGCGTCTCTCGTAATTAGGCATACTGTGATATTATGACTGCACGCGCAGTGCCATTATGACTTTCCATGACCTGCTTTGATAGAGTCAGACCATTGGAAGCGCTATGCATGTGCCTATGAGGTTTTCGGCTTCCAGGAATTGTGTACAGATCCTTGCAACATGTGGACGCACATTATCATGCTGTTAACATGAGTTGATAGTGGTGGATGAATGGCACAACAATGGGCCTCAGGATCTTATCACGGTATCTCTGTGCATTCAAAATGCCATCAATAAAATGCACCTGTGTTCTTTGTCCATAACATACACATGCCCATACTATAACCCCACTGCCACCATGGGACACTCGATCCACAATGTTGACATCAGCAAACCACTCACCCACACGATGCCATACACACTGTCTGCCATCTTCCCTGTACAGTGAAATGCGGGATTCATCCATGAAGAGAACACCTCTCCTAAGTGCCAGACACCACTGAATGTGAGCATTTGCCCACTCAAGTTGGTTACGATGACAAACTGCAGTCAGGTTGAGACCCATATGAGGACGACAAGCATGCCGATGAGTTTTCCTGAGATGGTTTCTGACAGTTTGTGCCAGATGCGACTAAGGTGTTGGTCCATTCCACTGTCCTTTCTCGCCTTGACTACTGTAATCCGCTTCTCAGTGGTCTTACGTGCTCCCAACTTGCACCGTTACAGTCCATAATGAATATGGCAGCGAGGCTCATCTTCCTGTCCGCCCGCACCTCCCATGCTTCACCCTCCTGTCAGTCCCTACATTGGCTTCCTATTTAAAATTCTGGTTCTTGCTTTCAAATTGCTACATAATGCTGCTCCCACCTATCTATCCTCCCTTATACACAAGTATGTCCCGTCTAGGCCCTTACGATCTGCTGAAGACTTACGTCTATCTTCTGTCCGTACTCCCACCTCTGATGCTCGCCTTCAAGATTTCTCGAGGGCTGCACCGTTCCTGTGGAACTCGCTTCCCTCCTCCCTTGAATGCTCACCCAGTCTCCACTCCTTAAAAATAAATCGTTAAAAACTCACTTCTTCATAAAAGCGTATCAATTAAACTGTTAATAGCTCCTGACTGATTCCTCTTCTGCAACTGTCACTAGTCCAATACTATCCTTACCTTTTTGTGTCATTTTACCCTACTCCCTCTAGCATGCACGCTCATTGAGCAGGGCCCTCAACCCCTCTGTTCCTGTGTGTCCAACTTGTCTGGTTACAACTAACAGCACTTCCCCATGTCTGTTCGTCCACCCATTGTAAAGCGCTGCGGAATTTGATGGCGCGATATAAATATCATAATAATAATAATAACAATAATAATATTCTCTGGTTATGCAAACAGATTGTTGTAGCAGCTGTCTGGGTGGCTGGTCTAAGATGATCTTGGAGGTGAAGATGGTGGATGTGGAGGTCCTGGGCTGGTGTGGTAACACGTGGTCTGCGGTTGTGAGGCCGGTTGGATGCATTGCCAAATTCTCTGAAATGCATTTGGAGACGGCTTATTCACGGGCAACAGCTCTGGTGGACATTCCTGCAGTTAGCATGCCAATTGCATGCTCCATCAAAACTTGTGACATCTGTGGCATTGTGCTGTGTGATAAAACTGCACATTTTAGAGTGGCCTTTTATTGTGGCCAGCCTAAGGTACACATGTGCAATAATCATGCTGTCTAATCAGCATCTTGATATGCCACACCTGTGAGGTGGATGGATTATCTCGGCAAAGGAGAAGTGTTCACTAACACAGATTTAGACAGATTTGTGAACACTATTTGAGAGAAATAGGCCTTTTGTGTACATAGAAAAAGTCTTAGGTCTTCGAGTTCAGCTCATGAAAAATGGGGGCAAAAACAAAAGTGTTGCATTTATAATTTTTTTCAATATATATATATATCTTGGTTACTATAACGTGAATATTTTTTGATTTAGGAATTGAAAACTATGTCTCCAAACGGTTTAAATGAGAAATTAATATATACTCCATTCTAATTAAAGTAATAGTACTATTTAGTTATTTTATGTATATAGATTAATTATAATCCTTTTTGGTTACTAAGCAGTAAGAATTCTTTGATTACATTTTTCACAGCACTAACACTGCAAATATCTTGCTTTATTATTTATGTCTCTATTACTTTTTAGTAATATTCTTATTTTCTCACAATACTATGTTACACATAGATGGAATTGTGTTCAAATCCACATAGCTCTAGGTTAGTCATATATTGTATTATCACATTCCTGGTCTTGAATTCTTTCAAGGTGGTGATGGAAGGAGCCGCACTCAATCCTAGCAGCCACCCAGTGCTCTGGAGCAGGACCAGCAATCCCACAACGACAAGGCAACACAAGAAATACAACAGGCATTTAAGGTGTTAAAGCCACAGGCAGTTTTAATGGAACAAAAAAGAGCAGCAATGTTTCGACCTGCCAAGAGGTTTTTTTCATGGTGACCAGTTCTTCTCTTGGCCAGGTTATTATTCAGCTGGCTAACTGATGACAGGTAGGGAAAATGTGTTGATGGCTTGGATCTTGTTCTTGCCATTGAGCTGGGACTTCAGGAGGTGTCTGACTCTTTGGAGGTAATTGTATGTTGCTACGGACTACAGAAGAAATCAAATATATATATATATATGTATATATACACAATATAGCACCAACTTATTCTGCAGCGCATACAATATTATGAAAGAGGAAAATTTTACAATAAATGAGACAATTACAAAATGTTACAGGAACGGTAGATGAGGACCCTACTCAGACAAGCTTACAGTTGAAAGGAGTGGAGTATAAAGACACAATAGGAAGGGCATCAAGGGGGACAGCAAACAACAAGGTGAAGAAGTGGCAAAACTGGAGGTGAGAGTGGAGTCGGGATGGGGAGTGCAAGAGGCAGATTTGTGGAATAGAAGTCATGCTAGGAGGCCATAGGTATATCTGAAAATATGGGTTTTGAGGGACTTCTTAAAATAATTGAAGACTAGGGGAGAGTCTGATGGCGTAGGCAGGCTGTTCCAATGGAAAGGAGCTGCCCGTGAAAAGCCCTGCAAGTTCGAGTTGGCAGCAAGGGTGTGAGCAGCGGTCAGGAGGTGGTCACTGGTAGAGTGGAGAGACCAAGAAGGGGCATATCTATGAATCAGTGAATAAATGTAACAGAGGCTAGAGTTGTTTAGAACTTTATAGGTATGGGATAGTATTTTAAATTGACATGTATAGGATACAGGAAGCCAGTGTAAGGATTGACAGAGGGGCAAGGTATTAAGGAAGTGGCAGAAGAGAAAGATCAGCATGGCGGCAGTATTCACTACTGATTGTAGCGTGGCAGTAGGGCTTTCAAACATATACCTGTTACTCTGTCACTGCCTTCCACTTAGATGCCCAATTTGCAAAAAAAGTAATGATGGTCCAGGCACTCAAGTTCAATCCAGTGGGCAGATTTATTGGAGCAGAATCAAAACAACATTTCGGCCCACAACAGGGTCTTTGTCAATCTTTCCTTCTTTCTTTCTTTCCCACAACATCTTAAACAAAACAGGAAGTTGTACTAAGGATAATGTTGTGATCCCAGCACTAAACCACAAGGTGGCAACACTGTATGCTCTGTGATGTTTGTCAGAAGATCGAGGTAATTTGGTGCCCTGTATTAATGTATCTCTTCAATACACCCAGACTAGTCAAGAGATCTGCAGAGCTAAGAGATATGATTCTACCTATCCTAACAAGCAAGTCTATTGTTGAGCATTTGTTTTTTTCAAACAGGAGATAAAACTTTACTAAAACCTCATGGTGTTTAATCACATTTTGTATGATCTGTTATTTGATCATAGGGAAAATCCAGGCTGGATTAAAGCCATTCATTTAGAAATGCATTATGTAGAATGTGCATTAAAATGTGTTAAAATAAATAATGAGTTGTAGGAAAAAAAAAAAAAGAATTGAAGTCATAGCAATGGTTTACTGGAGTTGTAGTTCAATTGTCATAGTTCTGTTGTACAATGATAACAACTCAACTAATTGTCATGTCGTGACATCACATACAACATTGAAAAGCAAAAATCGAAAGATGGAATAGAGGGGCACAAATGGTGAGTTTAAACCTAATTAGTATCAATTAGTATTTTTTAACAAGAAAAATGCAGCATAGCTAATTGTAACTTTACCAACACATTGTACCAAATACAAAAAGATAAGTCCTGCGCTCACTCCCATCACTACTGGGCCGACAGCAATGACTACAGTACACATCAGCCCCAATATATAGTAAAAACCAAAGAAAAGAAAAAGTTACCTGCGCTCTCTCCTTAATCCCTATGTATATGTAGACAAATGGAGGTCATTTAGTTGCTCCAATGGCCATTGGAGGGAATGCCCGCCTGCCAACGTCAAGGCAGACCCCCTAAAGTGGGTCCTACACTGACCCTTCAGCCTGCTTCCTTGAACATCAGGCAAAGATATCTCTAATGAGACAGAGAGGGGTATTTTTTTATATACACCCCTATATACTTATTAACCCTTAATAGGTAACACATGGGATGTCTCATTAGAGAAATCTTTGCCAGAAGTTCAAGGAAGCAGGCTGAAGGGTCAGTGTTAGGACCCACTTAGGGGGGTCTGCCTTGACGTTGGCAGGCGGTCATTCCCTCCAATGGACATTGGAGCAACTAAATGACCTCCATTTGTCTAAATATACATAGGGATTAAGCAGAGAGCGCAGGTAACTTTTTCTTTTCTTTGGTTTTTACATTGTACCAAATGTTTGAGTACCCCTTTAAGTGAATATATGATATAATGTAGTTTATATATATATATATATATATATATATATATGATTTTCTTTATGCTAACTTCCTATGTCCATCCATGCCAGAACAAATATGGTTGCCATTATATAACAGAGACAAACCACTGACGTTCTATCTGCTGTCTGTATACACTCTCAAATGCTTAGCCACCCTGCAAGCCTGTCACGGCAAAGAATTATGCTGCAAAATTGCCTAAAACAGTAATATTGTGTTTTATTCAAAAATTCGGCTTATTTCAATACAAACCTTAAATATATTAAATCCAATTTAAAGACCAAATATTTAGTAAATCTAGAGCTGGCTGTTTATATATTGTGTTTCAGTACCCGTGGTTGTGGTCCATAAACAAAAGATTTTAGTTTCAATTGTATACACGGAGTTTCTGATGCATTAGTACAATAAAAACATTCTTTCTTTACTTGTCCAAGTTACGGCATTTTTGAAATTACATTCATAATAGTTCTTTGGTGATTAATGTACCAAACGGATTTGGTTTACATACAACTTTTATAGCAAACAGGGACAATATAATCTTTTAAATAGTTTTGTAGAAGTTATAGTATATTTTTAAACCGTAAGATCAGTTGTTGATTTTTTAATACAATATGGCATGTTCTTTGTTGTTTATAACAAAAAGTCACTAAATATGCATAAGTAAGTCAATCTGAAAACCTTGATGGTTTATAGAAATGTCTCTTCTAAATATATTCAAAGGATTAGGTCATGTAAGAGAAATGTAGCATAGTGAATTTTATTAATAAAATTGACTTGTGAAATATTGATCCCTTCACTTTAGATTAAGTTGATGAACCACAGCAACATCATTTCATCAGGAAATTAAGCTTTTACGGAAAGCCAGTAATCTACCAGTTAGCTTTCTGAAAATCAATAAATACACTTGCTGTAATTGGACCGTTGTTATAATAGGGCCTACCTTTAGGGGCTTAGGGTTAAGGAAAAAATTAGTCTTGGGAGTACCTTTCCTAAAGACACTGTAGACTACAACTCCGATGACTCCTAGCCTTGTTGCTGAATAGAATTCGGAAAAATTGAAACTTTGGGGCAATAGGTTTAGTTGAAGTAATGCAGACGAATATTCTGTATTTGAAATTGGGCAATTTTGTTGGTTGTACAAAATGACTGAACTCCTGACCGCTATTAAAATGTAATAATTTCTCTTAATATTCAATATTGCATAAAAAAGCAGAGGTTAACATCTGAAATGTATAACTTTGTGGAATGTTTTTTACTCCCCTAGTCTGATCCTATGTTTAAATCTAGAATATCAAGTTTCCTTTAAAGGATCACTATAGTGTCAGGAAAACAAACTAGGTTTCCTGACACTATATAACCCTTAGGGTCCCACCACCCTCAGGATCCCCTCCTGCTGGGCTGAAGGGGTTAAAACCCCTTCAGCCACTTACCTTTATCCAGCATCGGGCTCCCTCGGCACTGGTGACCTCTCCTCTCCCTCCAACATCAGCTCCCGACTAAAGCCGAATGCGCATGTGCGGCAAGAACTGCACACGCATTAAAAATGCCTATAGGAAAGCATTTCTCAATGCTTTTTTCTATGGACGTTCTGAGTGCTCAATGTGATTTTCGCATTGAGTGTTGCAAAAGCGCCTCTAGCGGCTGTCAAGAAGACAGCCACTAGAGGCTGGATTAACTCGGCAATGTAAACATAGCAGTTTCTCTGTTACATCTGAAGGGTTAAAACCTGGGGGACCTGGCACCCAGACCACTTCATTGAGCTGAAGTGGTCTGGGTGACTATAGTGGACCTTTAATGAGCTTGATATTTACAGCAATCTGTTTTTTTCATAGTAAGGGTGGCATTTAATTCCAAATGGCAAAATATATTAGATTTAGATGAGAATTTCAACCCCACCCAAAATAATTTTATAATCACTATATTTAGTTTAATTTGTTTCATTTTGTTGATTCCAAAGAGGATGCCACAAAAAAATCCCAATGTGGATCACATTAGACAAAAGTCAATATACAATGTGGGTAAAATGATTACGCAATTGAAAGAGCTGTACGCTCATTTTATTTTTTTACAAAAATATAAATAATGAAAGCAAATGTGGATTTTGCGTTACATTCCATTACTGAGGAAATGGGCAGCTATATGCAGTTAACACAATGTGGGTAATTTATTAATTCCAAACTGTAGCAAACTAAAAAATGAATTGTAAAATTCAGGCTAAAATAGCCAGGTTGTTATTTTTAACAAGTTAGAGGAGCTTTCTAAATCATCTACTTTAGCCAACATTTTCCCATTTGGATTTCAATTGGCTATATTTCGGAGTTTAACAAACAACTGTGAAAGTACTATAAAGTCAAATAATAAATGTGAGGATAAAGAGTGGGTTTAAACCTATCCCTAAAGGATTTAATGCTTCTACAATAAGCAGAGGTGCACAAATGCTCAACAACAAGCATCTAAGAAAAATCTAATTACCGTATATACTCGAGTGTAAGTCGACCCGAATATAAGTCGAGACCCCTAATTTTACCCCAAAAAACTGGGAAAACTTATTGATTCAAGTATAAGACTAGGGTGGGAAATGCAGCAGCTACTGGTAAATTTCTAAATAAAATTATATCCCCAAAAAATTATATTAATTGAATATTTATTTACAGTGTGTGTATATAATGAATGCAGTGTGTGTGTGTATGAATGCAGTGTGTGTATGAATGCAGTGTGTGTGTATGAGTGCAGTGTGTGTGTATGAGTGCAGTTTGTGTGTGTATTAATGCAGAGTGTGTGTGTATGAATGCAGTGTGTGTGTTTGAGTGCAGTGTGTGTGTTTGAGTGCAGTGTGTGTGTTTGAGTGCAGTGTGTGTATGAGTGCAGTGTGTGTGTGTATGAGTGCAGTGTGTGTGTGTATGAGTGCAGTGTGTGTGTATGAATGCAGTGTGTGTGTGATGCAGAGCCTTGGTCGGGGGTGGGCATTTTTATCATATTTTTTTAAAATTATTATTATTATCTTAATATTTTTTTGTTATAATAATTTTTTTTATTTTATTATTATTTTTTAATATTATTAATATTATTTAGTGTGTGTGTGTGTGTGTGTGTATGAATGCAGTGTGGGTGTGTGTATGAATGCAGTGTGTATGAGTGCAGTGTGTGTATTAATGCAGTGTGTATGAATGCAGTGTGTGTGTGTGATGCAGAGTGTGTTTGTGTATGTGATGCAGAGCCTTGGTCGGGGGTGGGCATTTTTTTTTTTTTTTAAATTATTATTTTAATATTTAATTTTTTTGTTATATTAATATTTTATTTTTATTTTATTATTATTATTTTTTAATATTATTAATATTTTATTATTATTTAAATTTTTATTTTTATTTTTTCATCCCCCCTCCCTGCTTGATACCTGGCCAGGGAGGGGGGCTCTCATTCCCTGGTGGTCCAGTGGTGTGCACTGTGTAGGTGGGGGCTGGCAGAGAGCTGTAACTTACCTTTCCTGCAGCTCCTGTCAGCTCCCTTCTCCTCCGTGCAGCATCCCCATCAGCTCCCCTGCAAGTCTCGCGGTGTGAGTGCCGCACGGAGCGTTGCCATGGTAAACCGTGGCAACGCTCTGATCTCGCGGCTCTCGCAAGACTTGCAGGGAAGCTGACAGAGGAGCTTACCGGAGGAGAGAGAAGGGAGCTGACAGGAACTGCAGGAAAGGTAAGTTACAGCTCGCTGCCAGCCCCCAACAGGACCACCGGGCTTGTAATGAGCCCGGCGGTCCTGGTCTGTATTATGGCAGTGTAAGTTGCCATAATACAGACAGTGACTCGAGTATAAGTCGAGTGGGGGGTTTTCAGCACAAAAAATGTGCTGAAAAACTCGACTTATACTCAAGTATATACGGTAAATATTTTTTCTAGAAATACTTTAGATAAAGATCCCTGAAGGCTTATCACTCCAAAATTCTGTTAGCCTAGCAGAAGAGGATTAGAAGAGCCTACAATATTTGAGATCGTAATTACCCGGTAAATAGAGCCCAAACCAGCTTTAATAATGTTCCTAACTACTCAATGAGTTCCCTATAGAGCATAACATATTTCTCGTATTTAAGCCATATTACAAGAAGCACGCATGGTTAACATTAAAACAACTTTCAGAATGGGTCAAAACTAAAATTTCTGCTTTTTATGTGAAAGGAGTTTGCAAGAAATGTTAATGCATTTCTGTGGGTTTTTGGAGCAATTTTAGTGGTTTAAGACATTTTTGTTGCATGTAATTTAAAGTTTTGAGTTCTTGCTGTAAAACCATGTATTGACCACATAATGGTGAGCTTCTCAAACCCATTCCTTTGGTGAAAACCGTAGTGTGTGGGAAGAAGTACACATTTAGGGTTAGCATTTCCGTTCCAAAGGCATTATCAAAGGTTACGAAAATGGCAGATTATCTCGTATTTATTTCTGCAGAATATCACACTGTATGAAATGCATTAAACCAAATTAATAAGTAGTGTTTGTGTATATATGGTATAATCATTCCTAATTTTGAAGGATTTATAATTGGGTTATTTTTTTTATGTTTTTTTTAATATCTCAAGAGAACTCTAACATTTTTTTTTCTGTAGGTGATGAAATTACTTGGGTTTATTTGAGACGTTGTGTTTGCTAGTGTGCACTCTCACATTAACATGAGAACTCCATCATGGGTTATTTTGTTGTGGTAAATTACTTGCTTGTGACAACCTCTGTTTCCACTTTGTGGGATATACTCCTGGGAGATGAAAAGCAAATAGTTTTGAAAATGTCACGTGAATTTTAAATTTCAA